CTATTAAATAGATTTTTATTCATTTTACTGTTAGCATGACTTCCATGGTTATGGAATATTGCTTTATTTTAACTCTTTGGGAGGATATAGTAATACTACTCCACTTATCAATTTTATTCCAGTTGTTTGGGGTACTTAGCGAACCTGTCAGGTTGCAAAACAAATCAAAGGACCAGTTTCCTGCAATGCGGGTGATATCCACACACTGGCTTCTCCAGTGATCTGTGTGTCTTGCATCCTCTATCATCCTCTAAGGCCTGGTTCACACCTGAACGTTTTGTAGCGCGTTCAACGCTCGACGAACGCTCTACAAAACGCTCAAACATCTAAATCCCATTGTATTCAATGGGTCTGGTTCACACCTTGCCGTATTTCCGCCCGCCCGAACGCGATACAGAACGGCCTACACCCAAAAAAGTACAAGTACTTCTTTGGGGCGTTTTGGTCTTGCGTTTCCATTGGGATACAGCCAAGAAGCCCTCGGAAACGGGCGTTTGTCGCACGTTTTTTTTACCACGAATCGCGGTAAAAACGCGTGACGCACGCGCATATTCAATACGCCTAGGTGTGAACCCAGCCTTACTCTTCCCCCTGACTCCCTATGTATTACAGGACTCAGCAGGCAGAATAAGCACAGGCATCCAAAGCTTACAGAAGTGTTGAATGCCTAAGAAGGAGGGTAGGAAGGGAGGCAATGGGCCACCAAAGTATTTAGTATGAGAGCTGTCTCTTCTATTACAGGTGACTGGTCTTTTAACTCATTTTCGGATTTACGGGGTCCCTTTCAGCTGATAGTGGTTAGGTTAGGCTTAGGGAGTGAGTTGCATTCAAGCTCAAATGGACAGGTGTTTTCTGAAGGTTTTTCGAAAACAATACAGACTAATGATTTCAGGACAGTGGTTGAGAGCCAGAGCTAGGTCCCAGCTGCAACCACTACGACCCTTACACCACAGCTTGTTTCCTGTGCTACTACAGGTTGCTGTGCCTTTATTCAGACCTGCCCACATTCCCTGCACTCTGGTACCCCCATCTTAGTAAGTACTTGGCCCCACAAGGTTATTGCCTTTTTAGTATTCTCAGGAATTTTGTATCCTCCTGATAATGATTCTCAGTATTCCCTCTCCCCAAAGGGACTTTCTGAGTTAGTCAATTGAAACCAGTTTCCACTGCTCCCTCCTCTAGTGGTGTCCTCCGCATTCTCTGTGTTCTTCAAAGGCCTCAACTCCTGCAAATTTCCGCTGGTGGGAGCTTTTAAAGGTGTCCAGTGTTGATAACGATTGGTTAATGACCAGCAAGGTTGACCAGCTTAGATCCTCGCTAGAAGCATTGTGCACCCTCTAGGTTAGTGGAGGGATGTCGTCCCCCCTTGTCCCATCAGAAAACACCCAGGATTTGAGAATACTACTAGGCATCCTTTGAATGGCCAATATAATCAGCTGAGTGACTCTTTAGTTTTAACAGCGCAGGGAAGTCATTCAACATAGTGGCTTTATCAAAACCTGGAAGATGCTGTAATACACTGTAGTAGCCGCAGCTACCACAATGTATTACAGGATCCCCGTGGTCCTGCCAGGAAGTGTGTGTGTTCATACTGGGGAATTTCACAATTCTACTGCTTATTACTGATTTCTATCACCATTAAACAATTTGTCCATTACGACCATATCCCCTCTTAATTGCCTCTTGTCCAGAGTGAATAAGTGTAATTTGTGTTATCTTTCCTTATAGCTTAGGTCCTCCAGCCCCTTTTATTATTTCCATTGCCCTTCTCTGGACTCTCCTCTGCTCAAGGACACCCTTTCTGTGCATTGTTAGAAGTATTAAACAGGTTAAACAGCACTGGCCCAAAGTCAGATCCCTGGGACAGGCCACTCACAACGGTAGACAATTTAGAAAATTAGCCATTTGTCAATACCTTCCGGGCATGCTTCCATAGCCAGTTCTCTAAATACAGACTATTTCATCAGTGGCTGTAGACGATAGTTTGTATATCAAGCAATCATTTTTATTTACATTGTGCCAAGCTGGACCAATGTAAATGATTATTAAAGCTGGAGCTCTGCTTTAAATCTGCACATGCCAGTCAGTCATATCACTAAACATTTTGGGACTGCAGTTACCACTTTAGCTACTGGTAAGAAAGTGTTAAATTACTTTCTTACCAGCAGCTCAGTTGGTCATTGAGCCAAAAAATTGTAGAAGGGAACAAGCATAATTTTATTGCATCCTAAACACTTTTCCTACCTTTTCCCACAGTCTTGAGTGCTTGCTGGAATTGGAGAGGGTACACTCACGCTGGCTGTGGTCTTTGCTGCACATGCACCCGTTGTAACTAATGTGGAATGAAGCCACTGTTTGGGGTTGAAGGAGTTGCTGTGTACACTGACTGGGTACCGGTCCCTGCAAGGAAGAAGCACTGCCAGCAAAGACATCAGAGCGGCTGGCTTGGACAGTGTTGAACACAGCCAGAGGAGTGGCAGGAATTCCCCAAAAGCTTAGCAGTGCAGAAGGGAGTCTGCAGTTGTAGTGAGTGCCAGGTTTACCTAACAATAGCCCTGGCATTTTGGCACTGGCCTCTCCACTGGCAATAGCTCGGTCGCCAGAGAGGTTATTTTCAGTCACCCTAGTAATTGAGAATAGTCGAGCCCTACTTTAACGGGATTTGACGTGCTGAAATTTGCCCCCAAAGAGAATTTTTGTAATCCACTAAAGCATTTGTACAATATACACTTTTGTACAGTTGTACTAGTTTAGAGAAAATATTCTTCTGCATGTGAAATACAAAACTTAAAATGTATGTTCTAAATAAATTAACTCTTGCCTTGATAGGTCTTTCTTTTTCATTTCTATTTTTCATGTCATTTTCTGCATTTCCTCAGGGAAGGAATGGGCTTAAAAAGGTATTTAAAAAAATAAAACTGCAAGAAATTTCTGTAATTTGACTTGTATCTCTGTCGGTGTATGCAATTTTCTAGGAAACCTGTGAGTTAAACATTCAATTATATTTGTTTTGTAACCATATAGTGTACAAAATGTCCCCAAGCTGCCGCATGACATGCGATGTGAAATTTTCTATTTTTGACAGTTTTTGGAAATCCAGCAGCTGCAATTTTAAGTAGAAATTTAAATGGGTAATAACCTACAATTACAACATGGCTTGTATAGGTAATATACTGTATGTAGCTTTTTATTTCAGGTATTTACAATAATATAAATGTAGCAGCCTTCTTCTAGGTCAGCCTCATTTTCACATGAACCAGTACCATTTCAGAGATATGCTTCTTTATATTTTCATATGTCCCCTGCCCCAGCGCTGTACAATCCTATTCAGATGAGCTGCCATTCCCAGCGGCTGAGCATTGGGAGATCGGTCGCCGCACTGCCCCTAGAAAGTCTCGAAATTGAGGTGGAGTCCCTTTTCACAGAACCCCACCTCTTCCCTCCCAGCTCTGTCTCTTGCTGATCTGTGTCCTGCAACTCTTATTTGCCTAGGACAGGGGTAGTCAACCGTGGCACTCCAGCTGAGATGAAATTACAAATCCCATCATGCCTTTGGCATTTATGCATGTGGTTGTCAGTCTTGCAATCCCTCATGGGACTTGGTTCCACAACAGCTGGAGTGCCACGGTTGCCTACCCCCTCGACCTTGGAGCCTAGGAAACTGACAGGGCGGTAGGCAAATAAACCATCAGCTTTGCAGGAACTGATTTAAATAAAAAACTGCTCGGCGGCCTTTTTTTTCTTTTTTTTTCTCGCTAGTTTAAACTCTACTGAACACTGTCCTGTTTCTGGCACCTCCTAATTGCCTCAAGTGCAGGACACTGACAGGGAGGTGTATATTATCAGTTGTACAGGTTTTATGTAAAGAAAAAAGAGCTGATCAGCCTCTCTGTTAGCTCTTCAGTACAGTGTTCTCTAGCTCCTAAATGCCAAGGAGCCCTAATAATGTATGAGCTAGTCAGGCTTTCCCAGAGCTTTTTCTCTACCCAATCTTCTTGTCCCTCATGTCAATCTACGTACTTGTCATGGTACAAAATGTAATCTTAACCAAAACTGACTTTAACAGTGCTTATTTGCAAGTGAAATACATGGCAAAGGGCAGCACTGGATGGCAGTATGGGGTACAGATAGTGGACCGAAAATGTTGTGTTACTTTTTTTTTTTTTTAAACAACTTTATTTTATTTATTGCTATCACACAGGAGCTAACAAGTCCCTACGTGATGGCATTTGGAGGAGACAGGTTCTCTTTATTGCACCGGTCACCTACAATACAGGAGTTCTAGCACAGTACTGTGCTGGAACTACTGTAACAGCTGAGATGGCAAGGCTGCGAATGCAGCTCTCCTGCTGTTTACATGGAGTGGAGAACGGTCGTGCTCTGCTCCCCACTTACCAACCTGATCTAATTTGCTGTGGTCCAGTGTCCCCCAAAGACCACAGCGGGGAGGGAGCTGGCGGGCGGTGACACAGTGGGAGGTGACCAAGACGGCTGCCGGGGAGAGCGGCGGTTTGGGACAAATCAGGCTGCTTACAAGTGAACTTGAGTGGCTGTACAGCCGCTCGAGATCATTTGTACAAAACGGCTCCCCCTCTACATTTAGCCCTGCTGCTTGCCCGAAGCAGGGCTAAATGTAGGGAAAAAAAACTACACCCGGAACTGCTTGTCCATGTGGGCGATATCAATTTCACATCCCTGTGGAGGAATCTGTTCTAATTTTTCATTCAGCCCATGGGTTGAATGAAAAATAGAACAGTGAAAGGACAGATATTTACTCTCTAGAGCCAGCCCAACAGGCTGAGGTATCGTGGGATTTGCAATTTTGCAAGGTGCATATGTACATCAACCAGAAGTGATGTATAAAGCCCTGCATATCCTACAAAACTTGTGGCATGCAAGACAGTTGACAAATATGTATTTTGCGGCTTTCCTACACTTTGCATATTTCAGTAAGTGAACTTTGTTATCTTATGCAGTTGTTTTGTTTTTTCTCTTGACAGGCAATTGAAGAATTTCTGGCTGAGTTAAAGAACCGGGAACAACCACAAGTGGTTACCGTGCCGCCAGACACTGCTGTGAAATTTTTAATGGCTCGGAAGTTTGATGTTTCTAGAGCAATTGATTTGTTTCAAGCTTACAGAGTGAGTATACATTTGTCCCACATTCCTGGGCTAAATAAACTGATTCCCAAACTTCAGTGCTAACATACCTTTATTTTCTGCGCATCTATTATATTTGTGTCAACAGCCAGTACTTTTGGCTTTCAAAATGCTATTCAGTAGGGGTTGGTATGTATTTTTAAACGGAATCTGACCTATCCTAAAAAGGCACCTTATAGTGCTTGCAGGTATGTGTTAAGGTCACCGTACACTGCCCAATCTGTCTAATCTCCTTTTGGATTTATCATAGTGTATGTAGTACAAAGGCCTTTCTGATTGGATACAAATTGAAAGTATTGTTTAGGTCTGTCCTTATATTACATAGTTTTGGTTAATCTGATGGTAAACGTACTGAAATTGTACTGTCTGGTAGTGTATGGCCAGCTTTAGACCAATGTCACATTTGATAGTTTAATAACTGGCTTATTGTCAGGAAGAGGTGGAGCTTAATCTAGCCTTGGGTGGAAGTTGGTCTTCCTGTGCAGCCTGGATCTAGGAAGACTCTAAAGGGATTAAAGGTGCCCGCAAGTACCCATGGTTTAGGTTATGTCGGGCTCTCTTTAATATAGTACTTATGGTCACCCGTTGACTTTCTACTAAGTTCCAGTCTGATGCAGCTGATAAGGGCAGTTGTATCCATAGCTATTGAGCATTGCTGCTATTGTACCTGTTGCCAGTCTAGCAATGTAGATGGACAAATGCTTAAAACTCTGAACAGAAGGCAATGAATCTTATTAAACAAGAAGTCTTCAAGAAGAGCTAGTTTTTCCTATTTATTGTCTTAAGTACAGATCATGTAACTTGAAGGCTAAATCAAAAAGTTTAAGACGATGCAGAAATCTTCTTTCAGATAATTATACGTAAAGGCTACGTTAACTGCTGTTTGTCATGCTTTGCAGTCGCAGTGTGGTGCTTAACCACTTCAAGACCAGGTGTTTAGACCCCCTTCCTGGCCAGGCCATTTTTACCTCATTTTAAAGTGGACCTTTACCCCCTTTCACTAAAAATCACATCAGCATGCAGCTCTGCATGCTGATTTAAAATCATTTTACATTCATTAGTTAAACAAACATGTTTTTGATTCTCTTACAAATAGTTTATCTACTTCCGGGTCCACTTCTGGCACAAATAATGTAATGTGGCAAAGCATTGCGTCCTGGGAAGGTTACATCAGGAGAGCATTGCTGGGAAATCTCCTCTGTAATCTCATGCAGATTTGTAATTATGTTAGCATTAAACAATGTTTAAATCCTTCTGGTTTATAAAAACAAAATCTGTCTTTTATATTACATTCTCCTGATTCCCTGTTCATCTGACACTAGGAAGTTATTTACTGTGAGTCAGTCACTGGCAGGTGATCTAGGCACTTGTCTTCTCTCTGTATAATGTTGGTATCTATTGTGGGTAGTAAAAGAAGCATCCTGTAGCATGCAGATGAGTTAAGATATACAGGGGGTTATCTGATGGCTTACTTGTATTGTATATTTCTGTTACTCTAATATGTTTTAATGGGCTTACATGAAGGGGAGAGCTTAGCAAGAAATCTGTCAGTATATTATTCAATTAGGCAGCAGTTTGCCAGTCTCTGAATTATGGTGTCACCCACTCTTCAGGATATAACTATTGCTTAACTATTCAGTGTGGCACGTGTGTGAATCACAAAGGGTTACAAATTTTGTTCGTGTTTAGTAAGGGGAACACAGGAGTTCAGAGTTTTTGGGTTAATTTAGAATGTTGGGTTGGTGAGATTGGGAGAGCCCCGGGAAACTGTTCAACCCTTCCCTAATAGCTTCAAGCCTGTACCCGTTTGGGCAGGCCTTTGTTAAAAAGTGGGCTGCCCCTGCTGTGTATTCAGGCAGTATCCCATCTTAAGAAAGACAGTCAGTCTTTAAGACCCCTAATGTCACCTAGGGACCCCCAGAAAAGCTGATGAAGCAAACACCTGCTTGACCAGCTTCTCTCCGGTTTCTGTACCGGAGAGTGACACTGAATGCAGGCAGTGATGTAGTACACATCACTGCCTGCCTTCCGAAGAGGAGGAGGAGATCAAAGGGAGCTTGTGTTCTGAGCTCTGTTTGTTATCCGGCCGCAGAGCTGCTGTGCTGGTCCCGGGCTAACACCGGGCACAGCGGAGCTCGGGATCGCCGGCGGAGGGGGGGCGCACGCATATTACAAGAGATCGTGCGTCTCTACAGACGCGCGAACGCTTGTATGTAAACAGCCATCGCCGGCTGTTTACTTTGCAGGCTGATTTCCCGCTCGTGCGTGCCGCCTAGCGGCGGGCACGAGCGGGGCGGAATGGGACATTTAAAAATGCCCACCCGCATTCAAAAAATGTTTTTATATTATGTGTAACTTTCCATATTTTTTTTAAACTTCTTTTTCCCCCTATTTTTTCCCCCTATTTTTTCCCCTATTTTTCCCCCCACTAAACTGTATTGCTATTACATATGGTTTTTTTTTCGTAGCCGCCTATGTGATAGCAAAGAGGATGTGACAGGTCCTCTTTATGGAGACATCAGGGATCTCCAAGACCCCTAATGTCACCTAGGACCACCCCAAAGAAGCTGATGAAGCAGAGATCTGCGTCATCACCTTCTCTCCAGCGTCTGAAGCTGGAGAGTGACACAAGAATGCGCAAGTGATGTAATATAAATCACTTGTGCATTCTGACAGCTGAGAGGAAACCGGAGGAAAATCGTGTACCGTTCTCCCTCTGATCCCCTGTCAGAGAGCCACTATGCTGCTCCTGGGCTCACCCCGGGCACAGCGGAGCCTGGGACCAGCGGGAGGAGGTGCCTCGGAGGGACACACAGACACCTGACTGCAAGAATACCCAACTGCACCAGCTGCAGAAGCCTAGGGCCTAAACCTGGGAGGTTCAGCCTGGACTCCTGAAACCCTGGACTTGTAAGTTCCCCAAAACTCTTAGATAACTTTTCTTCAGCTTGGATGGGTGTCTCCGCTTTCCAAAGTGTGTGGGGTGTTGACAATGTTAGACTTGCATATTTCCATTCTTCCAGTGGCCGGTTTGTGGCCCTGACAGTCAGCTTATCCTCGACAACTCCAGTGTTCACCAAGCTGATGGCACTTGTACCACCCTTGCTGCTTTTCCAGGGCATCCCTATTGTGGGATATCTGAGTGACCTTCTGCTCGACAATATAGCTCGAACAGTCCAGACTTTTCAAAGGTTTAGTTTGGTCCTGAACTTTCAGAAATAAATACTGGAGGCAAATAATTACCTGGGTCTAGTCCTAGACACGATCATGCCAGAGTTTTTCTTCCCTGTGAGAAACTTGCAACTCTTCACTCCCAGACTTGGACTTTTCAGTCCAGGAGCTACCAAACTCTTTGCTTCTGGACAGGTCTGATTTACTTGACACTGAAGACCAGATTGTGGCTCTGGAATCCTGCTCTTCATCAAGTCATTCCCTCCATTCTTTTGGGAGAACCCCATGACAGAGGCCAGCCTGTCTGGCTGGGGAGGAGTCCTGGACACCCTGTCGATGCAGGGGACTTGGCTGTCAGAGAAATCTTTTCTCCCAACCGATCAATAGTCTGCAAATTCTAATGATTTGGTTGTCTCTGCAATGCTGGACACGACAACCGGTAGGTCATCTGATCAGCATTCAATCTGACAACGCCACGGCAGTAGTGTACATCAACCATCAGTGAGGAACAAGCATTACCGTCGCTGCAAGAAAAGAAAGGATTCTGTACTAGGCATAGCTTCTTATTCTAGCCTTGTCCACATTTACATCCTAGGTGTGGACAACCGGCAGACAGACTACCTCAGCTGGCAGCGCTTGGTCCCATAAGAATGGTCTGTACACCTGGAGCTGTTCCACGACCTGTGTCACAGGTGTTGGACGCTGGATGTGGACCTGGACCTGGACCTTCTGGCCCCCATGTTCAACAACAAACTAGACGGGAAACAGGTGATGAGAGTGGTGGTGAGACCCAGAACTCGGGTAGTTATGGCTTTTCACCTCAACCAGAACATTCTGCTTTTGCAAGGCCACCACCTGGTTTTCTGTTTGCCAAGCCTTACCAGGTGAATATTCAGGCCTTTTAGTTGGCTCTCTGAGCTGCAAGCAGTCCCTTATTCTGTTGCTTTGTTAGCCTTTTTGTCTTTTGTTGCCATTACGCACCCCTCAGTTGGACTGCTCTTGGATGTCCCAACATTCTCTAAATTCCTGTGTTCCTTAATGAATGCTAAAGAAAGTGGGATTTTTGATTTTGCTGAAAATCCGTTTCTTGTAGCTCATTGAGGGACACAGGTCCCGTCACACTCTCTATGTTTTTGGCACTGCTTTTCTACAAAACTGAGACATGCTAGAAGTTGGAGGGGTTATTCAGGGCTGGCCACAATTTTTGTTTCTCTGTGTCCAAATCCTCATGTAAGCAGCAGTATAACCCAACAATCTCTGAAATCCGGATTCCCTCAATGAACTACAGGAAATTGATTTTATGGTAAGTACAAAAATCCCATCATTTTAGCAGGCACTGCAGTTTGTCATTACATTTAAAATTTCCCATTTGAACAAGAAATATTACTAATATGAACTTCCTGACTACTTTTCTCTGTAACAGAACACAAGACTGAAAGAAGGGATCTACAATATTAACCCAGATGAAGAACCTTTACGCTCTGAGTTATTGAGTGGTAAATTTACAGTTTTGGTACGTATTTTTTTTGCAAACATTTTCACATTTTGTCCACAAAAAATACTATTCAAAAAATTGACCAGATGGACTTTTTTTTCTTTTTCCCCCTCAAATTGGTTTCCTGATATACCCAGTCTTGTGCTTCCTAAATCTTCTTGTGCAGAAATAGTTAAAAACAGAGGGTGGCAGAGTTATGCTCTAATGCACAGATGGACCTGTCCACATCTGCAATTGTATACCTAGATACTGTTATCTAGAGGTGTTTGTTCTGCAACTTGAGGTGTTGGCATACCTACATTCTGCAGGCATCCGTAATTAGAAAAATGACAACCAGACAGCTGCAGAATGGGGTGTAGGTGGGCAGAAGTGTGCCATTATCACAAGATCTCTGTATCTTGGGATTGTAGGTAAGGGGAGTGCATATTAATAAAGTACATGTTCACCTTTTACAAAAATTTCCTCTACCCCACTGAATACACACAGGCTGCTCTCACTTTCTGCCTGTAGCCTGTCCAGTGAAAAATTAAGTTCCAGGTTACCTGGACATGGTCAGCCATTAAAATGGGTGGCAAAATGGGTACCTCAGGAACAACGTCTTATTTAAGTATATGGGAAGTTGGTGTGCCAATATTTTTACTAGCCCGTGTGCAGACAGAACAGGAGGTAAGTATGCACCTAAAGGGGGTGGGGTGCTGTGTCTATCGAGTGAGCTAAGGGAATTGTTTTAAAAGGTGGACATGTACATTAAGCTCCCTTCACCCAGATCGAAGAATACAAGCTTTCCAGGCTTGCTGCTTTAGATCTACCAGTATCCCCAAGATCGGTCTTTCAATACATTTTCCTAAGAAAAGGAAATTATACATAATTAATTTTTGTGTGTTGTCTTTAATTAATTTAACAACATAGTCAAATTTTTGGATTCAGTAGAATCTGTGAAATGGATAGCCCATATGTGAATTGTATTTTGTAATTTGTGACTTTGTTTCAGGCCATAAGAATGTTCACAATGTGCTTGTATGGACAGTGTTCCCATTTACTCCCAATGTAAAAGCCATATTTGTGCTTCTCAATTACAGCCCGGAAGAGATGCAAATGGGGCAGCGTTAGCCCTGTTTACTGCTCGGCTTCATCGGCCGGACGTGACCACGCACAAGGCTGTTCTACAGGCTATTATCTATCAGCTAGATAAAGCAATTGAGAGGTAATTTATTGATGAGCAAAATTAGCCTCTTCCTTCCCATCAGAAAAATCTGATCTGGATGGGAGATATTTTAAACACAGATGGGCGCATTTCTTTAATCTGTGTTGAATGGCTTTTATCAAATGTCCTTTTGAAGTGTATATTTCTAATGTTGTTTTTATGTTTGGGACATTATTGGGTTTTCACTGAACTATAGCTGTGGGATAATTTCTGGACATTTTTTTTTCTTCCTGCAGTTATTGATTTTCAAGTCATTGCTGTGATCTCATAATGTACTCTGGAAAAAGCTCATAACAGACTATTGTTGCCATAGTAAAGTGGAAATATATATTGTAATAGAATGTGGAAGAAATGCTGTAAAAAAGCGAACGGTTTCTAATTTTAGAAATTCCAGTTTATTTTCTGCCATTTCCATTCTCTATTTCTCTCTGATATTCTTAATTTTTTAAATTAAGAATGCGTTTTTATGTACTCAATAAACATTCCACAAAGCACTGGTTTTCATGTAAAGTGGAGAGAAACTCCAATGCAGTTTGAAGGGAAAAAAAATAAAATAAAAACACTTGCAAAGGTTTAACCTTTCCCAATGCTAACCAAAACAAATACATTTTGGCTATAATAATTTGCTCTATAGGGATATGCTTGTTTTTTTTGTGAAACAAAGAACATATGGTCATAGAAAGGTTTTTGTATTTTTATTGCTGTGTCTGTGTTGAGGAAATAATACTTCACTTACTGACTAAATAAGACAGCCGTAGTTCAAACAGCAATAAAAACCTGACAAAGGTTCCAATTCTTCTCTTTTGTACTTTAAAAAAAAATATTTCATGAATGTCTGTGACCATGTTGATACTGCACACTTGCTGACCACGCAGGAAGTAAGAAAAAAAAAATCTCCACAATTGTTTATAGAAGCAACAAAAAATACTTTAAGGAAACTCTAACCCTTTTCCACTGTTTCCAAAACCGCTCGAAAAAAGGGTCATGTAGGAGCTGCAAGCGATTATTGAGCTCCATTGAAATGGATTGGAGAAGCTACATAGAGCGATAACGCGTGGAAATATGAGCGATATCGCTGCAAAAATCGCTCGATAAATCGCTCAGTGTGAATGGGGCCTTACAGATTTGGGGCACTTCCCCCCCCTTAGCTGCTCATCGCAAAGGTGATCTGCTGTCATGGATTGGAATGTACACATATCTCTCCCCCCCCCCATGTAGACTTTGCAGCCAGTTACTATGCTGTTTTGTATTTTTTATTTATAATCCCCAAATCTATGGATACCAACCATACCGGAACTCTACAACAAATAAAAACACACCAAAAACAGATCATTCTCTTTTGGCTGTAGTGGATGTACTGAAAGTAGGATTAAAATCCCTGCTAGCTTGTAGATCTATAGGTCGCCACCACTATGAGCACAAGCGACCCTGGTCATTTAAATGTCTTAACGGTGCTGAATTGCACTTTCGTTTTAATAGTCATGATTTTGGGTAAATATTAGGCTGTCTCCCAAATTTGCTCTTGAAAGAGTTACCAATGTATCACTGTTTTTATACCTCCCCTACAATACCTCTACAGATGGGCTGGTCATAGTTTTGTAAAGATTTATGCTTGAATAATATCCTTTTGTTGTGATTTCACCTTACAAATGTAATCTTTTTGTTCTATAGGGTGGAGACTCAGCGCAATGGGCTCATATTCATCTACGATATGATTAATTCCACCTATGGAAATTTTGACTATGAACTCTGTGTGAAGATTTTGAACCTTTTGAAGGTTGGTTGTTTCATTTTTGTTTCTAATTTTACGGTAAAAAGGTATGCAAGGAGAGGTGTTTTTATAGAGCTGGTTCTTTACTGCAAGCCTTGTCTAGATGTTCATGTTTAGATGTGATTCTTTAAAAGGAAATTACTGTGGAACTTTTAGAAAGTACAAGTTTTAGGTTATAACTGCCTGGGAGTAGTTTTTAATGTTAGTTTTACACTTTACTTGCTGTTCCTATGAACAAATATATATGTATAAAATACAAATGCGTATAAGTGTAGGTTGAAAGTACTTGAAGTACGACTCATAACAAAACAATGGGAGCTGCAATTGCTTTGCTGCGTCCAGAAACTGTTCATTGCCTGGCAGTCTTTCTTCAGTACTTTTGAGTCACATTTCCGACTGACCAGTTCATCTGCTACAACCAGATTAAAACTAAAATTATTTAGATGTCTAAAATACAACTAAAATTAAAAATACATTTTCATCAAAAGACTAAAACTAAGAATAAAATAACATTTGCTGTCCAAATGAACACTGCACAGACCTGAAATAAGCAATGCGTTGAATGAGCGTCAGAATATTTATCTCTTACCTGTCCCAAGTCCGTGCCTCAGAAAGCCTGACAGCCAGGTAACGAACACTCGCAAAAGGAAAGCTCAAACATTGCAATCTACAAGGCCACTTTATTGTGGTAATGTAGAAGTGCAGTGATGATGTATATGTGTACATTTTCATGATTGCTGGCTTTTTAAATGTTTTTTATGGACTTTTTAGTAGGCCTGGGTCCTACAAATTCAAAGTTCCTCCTGAGGAAATTCAATCAGGAGTTGGATTGTCTCCTACAGGCAGTAGAGCACCCCCTTCCTGTGAGTCATCATAACAAAAGATCACTGCACACGAGCTCTGCCTCTCTAGGTCACTCTGCACTGTTCAGGGGGTGTTGCCACTATGAATATTAACCCCTTAGTGACGGGAGACGTACACTGTAAGTCCCTGCCACTAAGTGCCCAAATGACTGTACGTGATTAGCTATTTGGGGCTCTGTAATTCCGGTAACTGCTGAGAATCAGCGGTTACCATTCATTAAGGCCCCATTCACACACGAATCGGCCGACACATACAGCTCCGTGCTACGTGCAGGGCCGTACCAAACAGCTGCCGGGAAGGAAAGGTGCTGCGTGTGATTAGTACGCAGCCCCCGTCCTTCTCTATGGGGTTACGCGGCTGTACGACCCCCCCCCTACGCTCACCTCAATTGCAGGTCCGTAGGGGTGCGGGTGATCGTATTCATACGCCGCCGGAATGGATCCTGTATGCGTCCAGGCCAGAAAACCCGCACCCCTACGAACCTGCAATTGAGGTGAGTGTAGGGGGGTGTACGGCCGCTAGCCCTTTTTAAAAAATATTTATTGCAAATCAAGAAATGTCTAATCTGTGTTCTGTTTGTATCAATGCCTAAAGGTATTTTTTTTTCTTCATTGAGTTACTGGCACAGCAACTACCCACTGCAGAGGAATATTATAACCTTTCCAGAGTACACAGTCCCAGTAAAGTAGCCCTTCTTTTAACCCATATAACTCCAAAAGGACAAATGACTGGAAAGAAGCAGTGCAGTAAGGGTTTGCTTAGTTTATGATAGGAAGTGTGATAGCTTTAAAATTAACCTGTCGTTTTATCCTTTTGAAGCAAAGTAACATGATTTGTTTATAGTGCACCTCTTTTTGGTACTAATTCTTATCGTCCCCAATCTATTTCCATGCCTTAGTATAAGCTCTTTGTGTAGGAGCATAAACAGGGCAAAGGACCTTCCCCCCAGCCGCATGGCTGTGTTAAGTCTTGCCGCTTAGGTGTTAAACCCAGCACCATGAGAGCTATGTGGAGAGGGTCAAATTTGCATTCCTCCTGTTCCAACCCTTACCCTTACACTAAAGTGCTAGGTATGTCACAGGGCACCAGTGAGTGGGCAAGGTAAATCTCTTCAGTGGAGAGTGCAGGCTGTCAGTTGAACCGGTTACTTTTCTTGAATAATCAAGGTATCGGGTTTTCATCCGTTGGGTGTGGCAGTCACTTACAGGTTTGCAATGCAAAACATGGAATTACTGTGTAAAGTCATTTCTCCTCTTGGAGAGGTTATTTGCATAGAATTATTAAGAAAGCAGAAGAGTAAGGTCCGTGTGTATGTACATGCTTCAGATAATTGCTGAATCATCCACTCTTTCTTTTTCTACCTAGGGTGCTTTTCCTGCACGGTTAAAATGTGTTTTTATTGTATCCTCTCCTCTTTGGTTTCGAGCCCCATTCGCTGTTCTTCGTCTCTTTGTCAGAGAAAAGCTGCGAGAACGGGTACAGTTGTTTTTTTTTTTTTGCTTTGTTTGTGTGCTGTTTAACTTACCTGTTATAAGAGTAAATTTTGTTGTAGATAAATTTAAAAAAATACTTTAGTCTAAGCAAAAAAAGGGTTTTGTAGTTCCAATGTTAAGGCACTTTAGATCTCTAAATAAGAAAAACTAACAATTCTCTGTCTGCAAGTGGCAGATCTGCTAATGTCAAAACTAGCCTGATCTCCTAAACCAGACCACCAGAATAATTTGTTGTCTGTGCCTCATCTGCTTTAAGGGCCCATTCACACCACATCCAGATCATCTCTAGACCAGATTGTTTTCGGACCCAAAATGCATCCTAATGTATCCCTATGCGATTTATGGCCTCTGTTCACACCAGCGCTGTCCGTTCCGTACCAGAAAAATACTGAATGTCTCATTTTGTCTGGTCTGGAACTGCAGGCAGGTTCACGCCATTTTCCGGACCAGATCTGGTCCATAAAATGGTGTAAAGCTGCCCTAAAGCCTGCATCCACCTTCTAATAAAAAAGGGAAAAGCTGCAGCAATATGCACCTCATCTATGAAGCTGTTGGTTTTCTTCCATGTTGAATGATGCCCAATGTGGTAAGGTCATCATAGACATGCCAACCTGTGCTCACAATACTTCTGGACAGCATAGCACTTACACATAGGACACTACCAGGAGTAAAACCACTGGCCAGAGGAGCCATGATGTCAGTACAACCAACCAGGAGACTGCAGGGATAAAGGTGTGTCTAATTGACAAAAAAAAACACAAGTGGTAGGCGGAGCCATGTAAAAAATTTGGAGTTGGGTAGGGCTGCAGCTAACGATTATTTTCATAATCGATTAGTTAGCCAATTATTGAGTTCGATTAATCTGATAAATAAAAAAAGGCTCCAGTGATGGACTACTAGTTTGTATTGAGATTGTAGGCCATCACGGGAGCAAGCTTGGCGCGGTGGAAATAAAAAAAAATAAGAGTGGTGTGCATTATAGTACATTATACAGCGGCGCAGTGCAGAATACCAGCAGCTATAGAGGAATGCAGCAATAGTACATTATACTACAATGTACTATTGCTGGGATTTGTATTTCTCTATAGCTGGTGTTGTTCTGCATTGCGCTGTATGTAATGTATTATTGCTGGGATTTGTAGTCCTCTATAGCTGGTGGTATTCTCCATTGCGCTGTATAATGATTATACTGCGCAATGCAGATTACCACTGACCAGTTATAGAGGACTACAAATCCCAGCAATAATAAATTATACAGCGCAATGGAGAATACCACCAGCTACAGAGGAATAACAAGTCCCAGCAATAATACATTATACAGGGTGTTTAATCTATTATTGGTGAGATTTGGTGTTCCTCTATAGCTGGTGGTGGTCTACAGTGTGCCACTTTTTTTTTTAAAATCAGGAAACATTAAAACGGGTCCCCCTTACCTGTTTCTGTCGCGGCGGCGTGCTCTGCGGGCGTGTGTCTGGCTTGTGTGGTGGGCGTGGCGTCCGCAGAGTAACTCGTACTCCTGTTCACAACGGCACCCTCACACAACTATTCCACCATTGCACACCCATACACCTGTTCCTCGCTGCACCTTCATACACCTGTTCCACCGCTTCACACCCATACAACTGTTCCACACAGCACCCCCACACAACTGTTCCACACAGCACCCCCACACACCTATTCCACTACTGCACCCATACACCTGTTTCACACAGCGCCCTTGTACACCTGTTCCAACACAGCACCCCCAAACACCTATTCCACCACATCACACTCATACACTTGTTCCACACTGCACCTCCATACCCCTTTTCCACCACACCCCTGCACACCTATTCCACCACTGCATCCCCGCACACCTGTTACACACTGCACCCCTATTCCACCACTTTACAGCCATACACCTGGTCCACACTGCACCCCCTTCCACCTATTCCACCACTGCACCCCCATCCACCTATTCCACACTGCACACCTGTTCCACCACAACACCCCCAGACGCCTGGTCCACACTGCACCCCCATACACCTATTCCACCACTGTATCCCTGCACACCGGTTCCACATTGCAGCTCCGTACACCTATTCCACCACTGACTTGCTTTCAGAAGGTGGGCCCTCGATTGTCGGTGTGCCAGCGACGAGTGAGGGAGCTCGCGGCGAGGAGGAGAGCAGCGGCGTGCGCGGCTTCAGCGTCCTGTGCGGTGGGCGTGAACAGGTGGGCACGGCGGCCGCAGCGTGTGACGTGTAGCTCAGGCCGCGCGTAGAGCCCCGAACAGGCAAATCAATCGATAGCCAACGAATCGACGATCGAAAACGTTGACAAGGTTTTCAATCGTCGATTTTAATCAACTAAATCTGTTAACTGTTGCAGCTCTAGAGTTGGGATTCAACGTCAGTGGAAGCCTTGCTTTCTGCTAGCCTTGTCCAGCCATTGAAAACTGTATAAAAGGGGGAAAAGAAGCCTTTCATGAGAGAAATACAGGGGATGTCATAAAAGAAACTGGTCACTTATCAGATTCAGTAAAGGGCCTATTGACACCATAGTGTTGAGCTAAAGGTGCGCTGGTGTATTGCTTTAATAATAATTCTGAATGGCAAGTCAACACGCCTTCAGGCGTGTGTTGCATTGCCATGCTGTGAAATAAAGTACAGGGGCTGCCATGACTGAACGTTATTAAAGACAGGTTTCCTTTAACCCCTTCATGACTGAGCTTGTTTTTAGTTTAAGGGACTATTCACACCATAGCATTGCGCTAAAGATGTGCTGGTACGTTGCTATTTATTCTGAATGGCAGGTGTGCGTTGCTGTGTGTGGGGAAAAAAAAATAATGCATTCACTTTTTGCATATATAGTATGAGCTTGAACAACCTCAGGAAATCTTGGATTGCCTTTCTACATGAAATTTGTGACCATATACTTTTTTGACGCTAGTCCAAGAGAGAGGATTCTAGGTTGCTTTTTTAGACAGTTTTCTCATGCAACAATTTGCATAATTTTTTATGTTCGACTGCAAACAACGCCTTGAAAAGTGCCTTTCATTACACAGCATCTTTCAGGGATGTAATTTTACAGTTAAATACAAACACCTGTGCTCCCGTGCTAGTCTGGTAGATGTTACCAGTTTTTTTGTTTTTGCATATTAACTTTTATCAGTAAAGTGCTTGTAAACATATCATACATAGGGATACAGAACAATAAAGGCAGTGACACACTGTATGCAAAGCAGCGTGGAGCGGTGTCACACGGACCTTCACATGCATGTGTTGTAATTTTCACTCTGGCTCATCGGCTTGCTAGAGCTCGCATATCTGAGAGTGCCGAGATGAAAAATGTAATCTTCAGCCAATCGGCTCACATGTATAAACTCACGCGTCAGGATGTGAAGTCCACGGAGTTGGTACATGCTAGCCAATTGCCTGAAGATGGAGTCTTTCATCTGGCCGCTCTGCTCTCACACACTGCATGTGAACTGTGACAGACCACCTGGTACCCCGACTGGGTGCCTCCGTCACTATGTAGCTTCCTCTCCACTGGAACCCGAATTCCAGGGTGCTCAGCCCAAACCTGCCTAATTATTGGACGGAACCAATATATGAGGACTGAAAATTAAACTCCCAAAATAATAATAGGAAATCAGTGGATCCGATCAGCAGGGATCTCCAGTGACATAATTTACCATATATGGACTTTCCCATTTGCAGTAAATGCTGAAGAGAGAGAGCTCCTTCCCCTCTGTCATCAGCGATCCACGATCATTTTGGTATGTCAGTGTCAGCAGGGAGAGAGAGAGAGGGGGGAAGGAGCTGGCACACGGGGACGTGCAGGTAAGGAGAAAGCTGCTGCGCATGTCCATATATTCGTGGACACGCAGCAGCTCTCAAGAATCAGTCAGTCATCAGTGGGGAGGATCCCGTCAGATACGTCGGGATGTCTTCTCATTGCGGCGCTTAGCCCCGCCCACCACCTTAAATAAGGTTTTACAGCCTTACTGTGCATTTTGGCTAATTAGAGTAAATTACATTATTTACTTATTTAGCCTAAGGAATGCATTAATAAAAAAAATATTAGTATCGGATATTGGAGTCTGGGCGTTGGACTTTTTTAGTGGTGTTCATGACCCCAGTCCCTCTCCGGGGGCATAATAATATCCAAGTCTAGCACCGATGTCTCCATTGTGTTGGCATAAGAGACTAGGTGTGGCAGGACGAGTGGGTGCTAATTAGGAATATATAGATTCTGAGGAAAAGTGACAAGTATTTGCCGTACTGAGAAGGGGATGAGCAGTAGAGGGAGGGGTAGGATGAGGATCAGGGGGAGTTACTTTTTTGTTTAATTAGATATGTTATTCATATTTAATGAGCTTGCTAATCCATGTTTTGTACCTTACAAAATATTTGCTCCTTCCATGACAGGTGCGAACAGTAAAAGCCCATGAGCTGGTAAACCATATACCGAAGGACTCTTTACCAGAACATTTGGGAGGTACATCAAAAATAAGCCATGTGGCATGGATTCAGGCATGTGTTAATTCCAGACAAGGGCAAGAAAATGGAGACTGCATGGACCATCTGTTTGTTATATACTCATCTGAGCAAAACCCTGTGAGTGATAGACTAAACTCTAATTGCACCCAGCAGAATGTGACTGATAACACCAGACTTTTACACAATCATTACCATGAAAACAGGACTAAGAATTACGCAGAGGCACACAGAGTAGGCAGCTGTGTGCACTGGAATGGGTCTGCCGTTAGCGGCAACTACGATTGTTGTGACAAAAGCTCCAGTGCAAATACAAATTGCAGGAGGCCGCCTCCTCAATCGGAGACTCCTCCGGACACTCCATTGTATAAGCAGCCTGCTGACAATCCTTCCATCCCACCTTTACCCCAGAAATCTCGACCACTGCCTGCAGACACGGAGGTATCCATACACATGCCAGAAGAAGGAGGTATGACGGTACTTGGTTTGGTTCAACATGTCAAGCGGATGAAAAAGAGGGGCATTTTTCAGGAGTATGAAGAGATTAGGAAGGAGCCACCAGTTAGCACATTTGATGTATCAAAGTAAGTCAAGTTTTTCTTTCCATATAAACACACTGTTAGATGGGGCTTGTCAAAGCATATGTAGAATTCCAGAGTCTTGTCAGTCTAAGAAGCCAGAAGGCACTTCTTCATTAACCACTGCAGAAAAGGCTGCTGTAAGGGACGTGTAAGACTTTATAGGCTTTCTAAAGGTAGCACATCGGAAAATATTTGGTGTCCAGACTCTGAAACTCTGTACACTATGTCTGAACAGGCAAAAGAGGGGAGAGCGAGAGCAGTGTCACTCTAAATCATTCAGTTGTGTGTATGAATTATAGCCTGAGCTATTGAGCTCTGCAAACAGGCTTCTTTCAGCAAAGTGAGTAGCACTAGTCTGACAAACATTTGCAGCGGCACCAGTTAGCTGAAAATTACAGCAGTGAAATGACAATGAGGGGAATTTATGAAAACTGGAGCAGACAGAATCTGGAGCAGCTGTTCATGGCAACCAATCCGATTAACTCTTTTTTTTTTCATTTTCAAATCTTACCTAAACAAACTGAAGAAGCTGATTGGTTGCTGTGCGCAGCTGCTCCAGTTATGATAAATTCTGCTTGATGTATGTTGGCACCTGGTGAGGTAACTTCAGTAGTTAACATTTAAAGGTTAGGGTTTAAGCAGTTTGTGTTTTTTATAAAGATAACCACTCACAAATTAGCATTTACAAGCTTCTGAATCTCCACTCTTAACGTGTATCTCCACATTCAAAGCCAAATTTGAGAACTCAGCCCCGCCCCCGCCCCTATAAGTCTGTGTTCCCATTATTAACACAGCGAACGTAAATGTTTGTTGCCTCTTTATAGTTAGAATAGATGGCAATGTGCAGATAAGGGACAATTTTAAGTGCATTAACATACGATGTACCACCCAAGCCTCAGATCTTTAACCCTTTCTTAGGAGAGTTAATCCTGCTAATATATTCTACAATGATAATTAAATCTTCCGCCACAGATAGGAACAGGTTTATTTACGCAAACGGGTAAGCTGCAAATTGTATTTGTTTTAGTTTATGCTATATGAATGGGAACATGTAACACAAAGTTACTGGTGTTAGCCCAGTTTGGCTGCAAAATAGAAATCCACTTGAAGTTACTGATTAGGGATGCACCGCTATATCGGCCGAAAATGGCACTTTTGGCAAAATGCCAAAAGTGCAATTTTTCTGGCCGATGTAGTGGTGCATACGTTCTTTCTTTCCTCCCCGCTTGACGCTGCTCTGTGTCCCAGAGGAGAGAAACTGTCAGAGGTGGCTGAGCGCTGTGAGCGGTTGGAGTCTCTCCTCCCCGCACTGCTCAGCCTCCTGTCACAGATCAGGAGAGTGGTGTGGGTGGAGACTGCTTGCAGTGCTGTCACAGGAGGCTGCGCTCCGCTCGCTAAGCCTCCTGTGACCGCGTGTAAGGATGGAGAGCGGAGTACAAACACTCAGTGATCACTGAGTATTTGTACATAATTGAGGACATGATATGTTTACTATATCCTCAATTATGAATGAATGGGAGGTGAGCTACATCATCTCCTGTACATTCATGATTGTGGATATACTAAACACACTATGTTCTCAGGTTATGAATGAACAGGAGCACTCAGTATAGAGACTTCCTGTTCATTTATAACAGGGCTGCAGAAAAAGAGATTGAGGACTGTGTCCTCAATCCCTTTTTCCATTGTAAAAGGGAAATATCAAGGGTCTGTTTAGACCCCCGAAGCCCCTAAAAGTAAAGTAAAAAATAAAAATATTTTAATGAAAATGAATAAATAAATATATTAAATTAGCCTCACCATTTATTTTTAATTTCGGTTTTGAAATTTTCATTTGGGTGCACCTCTATTACTGATCCTACACTACCATTTACAGAGGTTGAGATGAGTTACTACATTATGCACCTTGTTTTTGCATTGCTTTATTGAATAAACTCAGTAAATCTGAATAAAAACACGATTAGAATATTGGATTTTTTTTTTTTTTTTACGTAGTTTCCCTTCTTCCAAGTGTACAGTTGATACTAGGGATGCACCGATACCGTTCGGTATGGAGTGCGAGTACCGCTACTTACGTTAGAATGGCGCCAGCTTCCAGGGAAATCAGGAAGCCAAGTGGTGTGTCATTACCCGCCGCCTGGCTTCATGATTGCTCGGGAAGTTGGCTCCATGCTGTTTGGCTGGCGTGATGCTAATTGGCTGGGAAGCTGGCTCTGTGTTCCCTCGCAATACTGCTGGTCAGAGGAAATCTCCCACTGACTGGAAGTTCCGGTATCAAGGGAAGGTGTTACATCGCGGCACTGCCGGTCAGAGGAAAATACTCGCCCAAATACTCTGTACCGGCACTGATACTGGTATCTGTGCATCCCTAGTTATTGCCCATAACACCTTCCTTAAAAAAATAAAAAAAACTACACTTTAGTTGGAATGCAGTGGGTTGCACTTGCCTATGTCTTCTTCCGTACACACTGTTACAGATTTATGCACACTTATTAGTCCTGATGCATTAGAGAGAAACATTGAAAAGCAGGGAAATGCATATGTACAGGAGGAAAGGATTTACTGAATATACTGAAGGGAATTGAACAAAACTGGAGTAGACAAAATTTGGAGCAGATTTGCACTGCAACCATTCAGCTTCTGTCATTTTCAAATCTTACCTGAGCAAACTGAAGAGAAGCTGATTGGTTGCCATGGGCAACTGCTCCAGATTCTATGTGCTCCAGTTTTGATAAATTCTCCCTAGAGCTGTAATGGCTGATGCATGATTTATTAGAAGTTGATGGTTCCAATAGTCTTTATTCTTGGTCGGAGAACACAATGCAAGTGACCTGCTTGTGTAAGTCCTAAATGTAGCAAGTAGAACCAGCCGTCACTACAATGTTTAGGGAGCAAGATGAAAGCCCGGAGGAGCATGAAGGGTGAGTAGAAGAGAAGAGGACAGTAAAGAGTAAGACATTGAGTGCAGAGTAAGAGAAGAGGAGTGAAGAGAATAATGGAGAAGAGATGGAGAATAACTGAATATGAAGGACAGGAATAGAGATGCATAGTAGAACAGAGACATGAGCGAGAAAAAGGATAAGATATAGTTTAGTGTATCCTTTAGATTGGACTAATGAGAACAGACTAATACTGGCCAAGATGACGCTTATCAGTACTTGTAACAGCCATCTCAAATCGAAGTGGTTGCTGGTTCCTATAGTCTTAATGTGAGCTTTTCATTGAGCAGCCTTGTACATTTTTAAACAAAACCGAATATTGAGATATTTGTGATTGTGGGTGGAATGTGACAAATTGCTCTAAGAATGTTTAACTCAATCCCAGTGCAGTACATTTAGCCTACATACTCCTGTTTCCAAGGCAATGTATGTGCTCTGTTTCACATGTACAGAATGACTTAATATTGACAGTAAACAAAATTGTTTTTTGTTTTTTTTTACATGATTTTGGTTTAGGATTACTCGTACTTTTTTTATGCAGGAATAATGTGTATGACAGTTTTTCGTATAATGTATGAGCTCTAGTCAGGATACAACCTGTTTATCTTTAATATCACTTGCATTGGAAATGTCTTGCCTGCTTTGCGTTCATTTTTTTTCTTTTGCATTAGAGTGTCAAAAAAGCGAGCCTTATTAACAGTAGCTAAAGGGTAGATTTAGTGGTTTTATGAGTAGCTACAAAGTGTTCTGTGCTGACAAGCCAAAAACAAACTGGGTTTCTTTTATATTATCCATTATATAGTTAACCAGGTGGTATTAAAGTGAACCTAAACTGTACAGTATATCAGGAGTAAGCAACCTATGAATCATGACCCCAAGCTGGATTGCAGGCTCTCTATCTCCCACAACATTTTAATAGTAACAGATATTTGCAGTAGACAAGCACATGCCATTACTAAGTAATGCCTCACTGTAGGAGAGTCTTTGGCACTGCTGTGTATAACTATTGCGTGGGATCTGGAGTGTAGCACTTGGGCATGATATGTCTGCACCCTTGAACTCCAGGAAGTTTTTTTTTTTATTGTCCATTGAGGGAAACCGCTTGAAGATAAGCAACCCAGGTTTCACCTCTGTCTACGGGTAAAATGCACACAAGGCACATAGCTGAAGACCAGCCTCTTAGATGCTATAACCCATCTCATCTGCTTGGTGTCCTTAGGAGAATGGATGCCTCTTTTCCTTCTGCTATATTTTTTGCTCGAGTTGAAAGCTTTTTTTTTTTTTTTTTTCTTTTCCTCCTATTAGCAGATGCTTGTAGATTTAGGCCAGATATTGGAAATTCCTTAAGTCTCTCCAGTCAAGGATTATTAGAGTTATTGGGACCAGAGCTATGGCAGTTTTGTCTGTCCCTGTCTGTGAATGCTCACTTACCGTGAGTGTCTAAAGCAGATCTCTTGCTAGGTTGGTGATTTTTCCCTTCTAATGTACCTGAGGTTTTTGTGTGCATAATGTGGGGGAGCAGATTCCTTTAGTGAATATAAGTGGCCCAAACTGCCATTTGAGTTTGAGCTCTGTTGTGTGTTCTGGTGGCCAGGCATGGTTTTCATGCCTGGACCAGTATTTGGATTTCCTTGCACTTCTTAGGCTGGCACTTCATGAAGCAGCACAATGACTAAAGCACACTTTCACAAACTTCTCTTCCCACATTTTCCCTCCTCCACAGCAGCTCTGTAGGATGCACACAGATTAGTACCTGATCTGTGATCAGCGAAGGGAAGCTTGAAGAGGAAGTGCCTACAAATCAGCAGTAGAATGGTGTAACACAGTTCTCCATTTTACTCCTGCAACAGCCTACACTCAGGGACACAGTGGGTGGCAGCAACACAACTTGTAGTTATTGCACTCCCGTTCCAGTAACAGTGCACCATACCTGCTCAGCTGGTCCTTGGTTATTGCTGTGCAAGTGAGGTAGCTATTCCTTTTACCACCTTCTCCAGCAGAATGTGATGCAGAAATGCCTAATATTTCTGATTTTGTCATGGATCCTCCAAATGACTCATTACCAGATGCAAGTCCTTTCTTTAGAGGAAGAGACCCCACAAGCTATATTTCAGTAATTAGTTGTTACACCTAAATGGAAGGAAACCGTTTCCTTTTTGATTGAGTCTGTGCATTCCACTTTAACATTAGAGGATTACATTATTCATTCCTCTATTTCCTCATCATCCCGTTTGATGACTTTATATAGATAAACACCAAGACAAGCAATTATCTGTCCCTAAACAGTTTCTGGCACCCTATTCCTTTGCAAAGGATTTTGTCAAATGTTCCTCGCCTCCTGTAATCGACACGTGTGTCTGGCTTTTGCAAAGCTCTGACCATCCCTATGGAAGACTCTCCAGCCTTTAAGGACCCTATTGACCAAAAAATTAGACACAATTTCTCAATCCATCTACTTTTTGGGATCTGCCCTTCAACCAATGCACACCTCCTGTCGTTTCACTGACTTTGCCGGGCTGGTCTAATTTACTAAGCCGGAAGCTAGTAGCTGCTGCTGTTGACACCCAACTTATTGATTGCACTGACCAGATGATTATGGCATTGAATGCTAGCTGTGTTATGTTTTGTGTAACTCTTCTGTCTGGATCCACAGGATGATCTGGCTTGCATACTGGTCGGCTGAACAGTAAAAAGGCTTTCCTTGGGCTAGTTTTCGCAGTAGATTGTCTGTCTGCCTGTCTCTTCACTGGGTAAAATAATTTAAAAACGTAACAGGTTAAGGATACTTTTACCCCTGCTATGTAAAAATAAGGATCAACTGGACAGGTATACCTACCTTGCTATCCTGCATCAAAACATTCTATTTGTTCCTGCAAGTCAGGTTCAACTTCCCAGACCCACAAGTCCACTCCATTTGGCTTAGGGGGTTCTAAATGTCCTTGGCTAAACAGTGGATGTAAGCCTACAGAGAAATCCTCGTCCACATGACGGTCTACCCCCACCAGTTCATCAGAGGTAGTTGGATGCTTGAAGGCTTTTGAGGAGATTTGCAAATCTGGCATAGCAGATGCATGGGTGTGGGAGGTAGCATCCAAATGTTACAAAATAGTTTTGCCATTGTCCTCCACCTTGATTTTTCCCTTTTGCATCTTCCTGTGCCTCAGCAACATCAGACAGACGACATTCAGTAATTCCTGAACTAGGGCTGCAACAGCTAATCGATCATAATCGATAATAAGAATCATTGTCAACAATTCTCATTATCGATTTAGTTGAATCCGCAGCTGCTGCTGCCGCTGCTCTGCTCCTCCGTTCTTCTCCCTGCTGGTGCTGGCTGCAGCTGTCTGTGTCCCTCTCAATCCCCACCTGTATTGGCAGAGGCAGCGGGGACACAGACCGCTGCAGCCAGCACCAGCAGAGAGGAGAGACCACTGTTCCTCTGCTTGCCGTGCCCCTTGTTCTGCTGGTGGTGGAAAGCAGGTCATTATGTGCCTCCTGGCTTCCTGATTGGTTAGGAAGCCAGGCTGCTTAGCAACACGTGAAGCCGGGTTCCTAGCTAATCAGGAAGCCGGTTCCATGCTCTTTCGGCACTGCCGCTCAGAGGGATATCTCCCTCTGACTGGATGTTCTGGTATTGCAGGTAAGTACTCGCCGAAATACTTTATCGGTGTATCTCTAGTTCTGGGTCTTCATTTCAGAGGCATTCCAGGCATCAGATACATGGATGATCTGCTGCTGCCAGAGCAGCAAAGTGTTAACGTAAAGCGCAAACTTTTGAAACGTGAAAGAAAAAAAAAAGGGGGTTTTAGGAGTTTTGAGGATCAAAAGTAAATAGTTTGGGAAGCATTGTGAAGCTATATGGATTTTAAATTGGAGAGTATGAGTGGCATCCTTAGCTATTTAAAAGAAGAAATTAGATTACAAAATGGGGTTCTGTAACATCTTCCAGATTATTTTTGGTTTTGAAAAGATTGGTCACCGCTGCTATACACTTGTAGTTAATGTAAAGCTATATTAACAGTGTTGCTGGCATGAATAAATGAAAAGCAATCTAAGGGCTAGTATAGGAGTCTTTCCTGGAGTGCTGCTCACTTTACCAAAAGCCTAAGCTTTTCATCACATGATCAGCACTGGTGGAATTTTGGACCAGCATTTTCTTCAGGATAGTTTAAGCATTTTATTATTTCAGTTACTCTTGGTCTGGGCTATCCCACAACGCTTTTATTATATAGCTTTGTTAACATTGGATTATGGGTTTGCCACATTATGTTCTGTACTAAAGTCTATTTTCAAAATTTGCCACAGAAAGAGCTTAGCTGTGCAACTACAAAATCCTAAGTTACGCTGGCCAAATCTGTAAAACTGCAAGAGACTTTCGTGATAAATATTGCCGGTGGCTTACGTTATGTGCTTTTATTGTCTTATTTTTCCCCAGAAAGCCTTACAATCAATCAAAGAATAGATATAGTGATGTTTTGTGCCTGGACCAGTCAAGAGTTAAGCTAGGTCTCATTGGAACTGATGAGGTAAGCTCATACTAGTAATGAAATCCTGCGTTGTCCTATATACATCTGTCTTTTACATTGCTCACAGTGCAGAGGTGGTCTCAATGTAGTCAGAGTGTCTTGTTAACATTTAGTTCAAGAAGGTATGGTATGAAGGTATGGTAAAGCAAGCAACTTCATCTACACAAGAAAAGTAACATCGTAAAGTTTGTTCTGACGTTTGTTAAAATTCTTAATTCTTGCAGTGGGCACAACTGACTTTTTCCTCTGCAAAACTAGTTCCCCTTTTGTAGTGCACTAAGTCTGCCACAAGGTGGCAATAAACATTAAAGAAATTTCAGAAGTCAAAGTACTAAAAAAAAAAAAAAAGTACTTCCTTATATTTATTATTATTATAGGTATTTATATAGCGCTGGCAATTTACGCAGCACTTTACATAGTTGCACATTCACATCAGTCCCTACCCTCAAGGAGCTTACAATCTAAGGTCCCTATCTCACATGCATACAAAGAGGGCCAACTTAGAGAGGAGCCAATTAACCTAGCAGCATGTCTTTAGAGTGTGGGAGGAAACCAGAGTACCTGGAGAAAACTCACGCAGCATAGGGAGAACATGCAAACTCCTTGCAGATATTTAGCTGACTTTTAACAAAAGCGAATTCCAGCTACTTGATTTAAATTTTATATGTAATGCTGACCATTTAGCAGCCTAAAAAAAAAAAGTGTGTGTATGTATATACACTGAGTGGCCAGATTATTGTGGCCACCCCATCAGTACTTTGTTGGGCCACGAGATGACTTGGTTGGGCCGCCTCGTCACTCCACGAGATGCTGAAAGGTGATGCGAGGAATCTGACACTGCACTGTTGCCCTTCTGTTGTCTCTTTACAAGTCTTGAGTGTACATTTGTATTTTGTACCCGTAGCTGGTCCTGGAACCAATAGTGCGCATTTTACTTCCAAAACTTGTGATCACTGTTTGGCTATCACATTGATTGCATGATGGGGAGATGGTCTTCCCAGCTCCCGATCAGTAGTCCAAGACCAGAGGCCATCAGTGACATATCGGTCCTTGTGCTGGCCGTGCGCAAAAGTGCACTCCCAGCACAAAAGCATGCCACATACATATGCGGTGCCACAGAAGGAAATGACTGGATCACCAAGTCTTGTGATCTATGCACTCCTGCCATACAGCACAAATGGGTCCTGCCACTTCATGTATACTACACTACAGGACCATACCAACTACAGGAAACACCACTACATTAATGGCAATACTTCAAGAACGTTAATATTATACTAGTCGTATACGTAGGTACACAATCACACAAATGCCTAATCAAAGTATATAGGAAAATCCTCTCCAAACTGGTCAAATCTTGCCAGTGTTCAGTAAACTGTGCTTGTGCTTTCAATGTAGTCCCTGGCTATTATGTCAGAAAATGGTAAACTGATGCGTACATGAACTGTCTACTTTTTGTGCAGATTCAAACATTCCTTCAATGGAATCAACATCAGAGGCATTGGATTACTAAAGTACAGAACAACATACTAGATACTGCCAATTATTATGCAAATGTAAACAAGAAAACTTTTATGCTTTAAATTAATCATATTTTATGTAATCATGTACTAATAGTGGACATACAGTATATTGACCCTATTACCTAACATACACAATCTAAACTAACCTGACATACACATGCAGAGTAAACGGCTTCTTAATCTGTAGTGATCAATGTTACTCCAGCTGGTCTGTGATCAACTTTTCAAATAGGTTTATAAACCCCTTCCCGACCGATGACAGGATTGTTCCGTCACTGTCTTTTAGTTCCTTAAAGACCGGTGATGGAATAATGCCGTTGTGCTGTATTATAAGCGCTGGCCTGTGAAGGGACTAGCGCTCATTGAGTTAATGCTGTTGCTGGGTCCTCCCAGGGTCTGAGACAGACCCTCAACATCAAATTAGGCGTCCCAGCGCTGTGATCGCAGCAACTGGTAATTGCTGTGATCACAGAGCTGTGAGCCTGTTTGCAGCTCACTGTGTTGTGGAGCTGCAAGCCGGTTCAGTATATTGCAAAACTGATAATGTTGTTCTCCTCAGAGATTTTTATCTCCTCAAAATACTTGGCCCCTGTAAAATATATATTTTTTTTAACTAAGACACTAAGGGGTTAATTTTTTTTAAAACTGGTTTTTTAACATTTCACTCCCAGAATAAACTGAATACCCAGACATATAATATACCCTATAAATCAGGACAAATATAAGAATTTTTTAATTACTTTCTGTTGGCTACACTAATTATGTACACATTTTATATTGCTATAAAACTGTGAAAAATGTTTTTTTGTATTAAAGAAAAAAAAGGGGGGGGGGGATTTTATACACCTGAAACACGAATAATTAGAATATCGTGCAAAAGTTCATTTATTTCACTAATGCAACTTAAAAGGTGAAACTAATATATGAGATAGACTCATTACATGCAAAGCAAGATAGTTCGAGCCGTGATTTGTCATAATTGTGATGATTATGGCTTACAGCTCATGAAAACCCCAAATCCACAATCTCAGAAAATTAGAATATTGCGAAAAGGTGCAATATTCTAGTGTCCCACTCTAATCAGCTAATTAAGCCATAACACCTGCAAAGGGTTGCTGAGCCTTTAAATGGTCTGTCAGTCTGGTTCAGTAGGAATCACAATCATGGGAAAGACTGCTGACCTGAGAGTTGTGCAGAAAACCATCATTGACACCTTCCATAAGGAGGGAAAGCCTCAAAAGGTAATTGCAAAAGAAGATGGATGTTCCCAAAGTGCTGTATCAAAGCACGATATTCTAATTATTCAAATTTTCACCTGTATATGCATATGTCGCATCAAATTAAAGCCCATTTTGTCCTTTAAAAAATTGTATATATTATGTGTAGGTGCAGTGAATGAGGAAGATGGAACTTATGGTTAAACAAACACATAGCAGAAATGCCAAAATTCCTCCGGTCCCCAGAAGTGAAAAACATTTCTGAAGCTGTCATGAAGGGATTAAGTTGCCAGTTATTATTCTTTGCTGGAATCTTTAATTTAAACTCCTAAGCATCATCATTATTGTCAATCTTGCCACAAAAGCCATCATTTTATTTGTGTCTGACAGTCTAATGGGTCCAATAAACTGCGTAACACTTTGATTTTGCAGACAACAGACTATATAAACGCCAGTTTTATGGATGGATATAAAAGAAAAAATGCCTACATTGCAACACAAGGTAAGATGAAATAATGCTCATCTATCATTTGTGTGTGTGTGTTCCCTTTGCTGCATTTAACAGATCTTCATGTCTAGGTCCTGGTACCTTCCTTACTGGTGTTGATCTCTGTAAGAGACTTTTTTGTTTTTCCCCCTCGTCATTTGCTTCCTGACTAGCCTTGCACCTTTCAGTGTCTCAGCCCTGTAAGATCAATTTGCCTATCCATTCTAAACCACATGAACTCTTCCTTGCCGGTTTTTGTTCTTGGCAGCCAGCAGGACCTGCGGCTGCTGAATACCAAGAAAATGGCTGCATCTGATTAGTTGCAGTCACTGTTCAGCTGACCCATTTTCCACCCGACTTCTCCACCAAAAGTTGATTTGAAAAATCTGTCTGTTGGACCAGCACGGTCACCCACAGCAGAATTTCAGTTCAGCAGAAATCAGCCAGAATGCGAGCAGACCGGGGTATTCATCTTCGTGCACTGATGAGGATCTGTGGATGGCAGCAGTTACCAGCTCTATGGGCCTGGGGTTTAACTAAAGTCTTATTTTATTTATTGATTTGTTAACTTGTGACATAAACTGCACTTCAGTGACATACCAACTCTTGCTAAATTTATTTTGTTTTTTTTAATTAGGTCCGTTGCCTAAAACATTTGATGATTTTTGGCGCATGGTTTGGGAACAGAGAGTTTTAATAATTGTTATGACAACAAGGTAACATGCACCAATTTCTGAACAAGTACATTCAATGATCATTAAATGTCATTTACTATTGTTATTACATTTCTCTTAACCCGTAATTCTATAAAGATAACCTTACTCTGCCCGCTGTCATACATGGCGTAATTCTATACAGATAACCTTACTCTGCCTGCTGTCATACATGGCGTAATTCTATACAGATAACCTTACTCTGCCCGCTGTCATACATGGGGTAATTCTATACAGATAACCTTACTCTGCCCGCTGTCATACATGGGGTAATTCTATACAGATAACATTACTCTGCCCGCTGTCATACATGGGGTAATTCTATACAGATAACCTTACTCTGCCCGTTGTCATACATGGGGTAATTCTATACAGATAACCTTACTCTGCCCGCTGTCATACATGGAGTAATTCTATACAGATAACCTTACTCTGCCCGCTGTCATACATGGGGTAATTCTATACAGATAACATTACTCTGCCCGCTGTCATACATGGGGTAATTCTATACAGATAACCTTACTCTGCCCGTTGTCATACATGGGGTAATTCTATACAGATAACATTACTCTGCCCGCTGTCATACATGGGGTAATTCTATAAAGATAGAGCTGGCCTTGCCAGACCAAGAAGTTCCACGTTGCTTCTTCCTTTCTAAGATGTTGTTAATTCTTCTCGGTAGTCTTTTGTATTATTACGGTTGTAGTTGTAAATGTTTTATGCCTTTTTGTCAATTGACTTGGCTCTCTGTATGCATTAGAATACATATTCATTTCTTTGGTAATTAAATAGGAACTGAACTCTGGAAACAGCACCCAAAAAGGCAAGCAGATGGCAAATGACTAGTGACCAGTATTGCCTAAGGTCTCCTTGCTTCTGATCTTTACCCATTACTGCCTTACCATGCCTTGTTCTGCACTGCACTTAGGAGGAATTCCACACAAAATGTACACTTTCAGGGTACTGCCTTTGTGTATTTCTAAATCTTCCCTTTAAACATATGAAATCTTCACCTTTTTGTATTCACTTCCACCTTAATTTTATACTTCTCAATTTGTTGTGCATACAGTAATCGGTAAAATGTTCCAGCATGTTGATTTAAACTTGATTCTTTTAAATCTCTCAATAGAGTAATAGAAAGAGGTCGAATAAAATGTGGACAGTACTGGCCCCTTGAAGCTGGAAGAAGTGAAGATTCTGGGCACTTCATCATCCGGAACATCCATATAGATCTTTTCCAAGACTTTAAACTAACGCACTTGGATGTGTATAATAAGCAGGTATGTGAGCCAGTCTTTTCTGATCACGGATAACATTATATTTAATTGTCTCTCCTTTCCAGCTTATTAGGTATGTTTTTTAGAATAATTACCCATTTAAACTCCAATTGAGGGGAATTGTCTTTACAATGGCACTAGCTATAAATCACCCATTCACAGTATTTATGGCTCATCTCTGGTCTATTGTTTTCCCTAGAATCCTGTATGCTTGTAGGAAGAGATTCCCATTTTTCCCAAAACATATGAAATGATTAGAGGTGCACCAAAATGGAATTTTCAGACCAAAACCGAAAATAAACTGACATTTTTTTTTTTTTTCCCCTAACCTTTTTTTAAAGAAATTGTTAATATTTTTTTACGTTGCTGCTTGGAGCTCATGGAAAATATTGGGGGTCTAAACAGACCCCTGATATTTCCCTTTTTAAAATTGAAAAAGGGATTCAATTTCTTTCTGCAGCCCCTGTTATAAATGAACAGGAAGCCTCTATACTCCTGTCCATGCACAAGTTGAGGGTATAATATGAGTTACTATGGCCACAATCATGAATGAACAGGAGGTGATTTAGATCACTTCCTGTTCATTCATAATTAGGGGCACAGTAAACATAGGTCCTCGATTTATGTACAAACACTCAACGATCAGCTGAACGCTGACTGCTTGTGCTCCGCTCTCTATTCTGATCTGTTCAAAGAGGCTGAGCGAGGAGGATAGCTTAGCCCCATGTGACACGCTCACAGTGCTCTCCTTCCTGCTCTGATTGGCCTCCTGAAGGTTTCTCTCCTCCATGCTGGACTCTGCTCTATGTCAGAGGGGGGGCAGGGGGGGCAGAGCAGCACTCAGCAGAGAGAAACCAGGGATGCACTGCAATTTCACACCAAAAATGGTGCTTCCGGCATTTTCCACAAAGTGCCATTTTCGGTCGATATGTTTCGGCTACCAAACTTTCCGTGCATTCCTAGAAATTATGTGTTTTAAAGTAAGCATTGCTTGTGGGAATTATGAAGGCTGCTATTGCTGACCATGTGAAAATGCTGATATTCTGACTGTTATGCTGACCCACTAGCTAAATACTTTGAGTCACTCATTCAGAACATGTATGCTTATCACAAAAGTCCGTCCTTATCTATATGCTTATCCTGGGCTAGTGACTCTGAGAATCGAAATCACAGGGTCAGCCTAGCCGCCAGGAAGCTAGTATTTGTAGAATGAAAACTCGGCAGTGAAAGCCTCTTAGTGAAGGTTTCCTTTGGCAGCTCCAAATTATGTGATGGTTCCATCCAACAGATGCCAGCTTAGTACACAAATACTAAAGTAATAGGTAGCAACCATTACGATTTTCCTTTTATGTGGGTATAGCTTTAAAAAGTTGCTTTTTGATTGGTGCACATTTCTTTGTGCCTTGTTGGAAAACCCATTTTGAGGCTTAAAAGCCACAATGAAGACAAGTTATTGCTGGACTGATCCTATCATTTGAGCTGGAATTAGTGCCATTGTAGGCTGGGTAATCTGTTTTTACATTTAGAATTTTATATATAATAGATTATTTTCCTGTTGCTGTTCTGCTATGTTTCTAATAAACTTTCTGGCTTACAGGAATCTTTTTTTCTGTTGCTTCTGGAATTTTTTAAGCCTTTTTTTTTTTTTTTAAAGTGATGGGGACAGCTTACCACTGTATGCATACTGCAGCTTCATTGCAGTAACGGCATGCATCTGAAGTGGCCTATTCAGCACAGGCTGAACAGATGTTTGAGGCTTCTGAATATGATTTATCGTGGACTTCAGGAAGTGCTGCCGCTGTATACATGGTGGCAGACAACTAAAGAGTAACACAAGTGGACAGAACCTTATGCATACAGTAGCTACTTTGTGCATAGGAATCCTAGTTTCTGCATGCTAAACCCCTTTATAGGAACATATTAAAGGATAACTATACTTTGAAACAACCTAGGCCTTCGAGTTCCCCCTCACCTACCATGCTATGTGTATCACATTGGACATACCGGAGAACAGAAGGCAACCTGGTACTGGAGATTTGGCCTTTTGCCAGGCAAGGTGGCACTCCATTCCTCTTTCTGAGCTGCATTTTTATGGCTTCTATTTTCCAAAAGCTGTCTAATTGCAAGTCTACAAGGGGAGAAAAGGCCACACATGCACAGCCCCTCCAATAGGAGTGCTGCCCACTGCATTTTCACCATGTCTCCTATTCATTTGTGGTATGTAATTGCATGTACGAAAAGTTGACTAAAATGTAGCAATGTGAGAGGTTACAACTTTAAAAAAAATGATTTATTTATACAGTAGGAGTCTTCCATTGGTTTACTTTCATTCTGTTTTTCTAGACTGATGAAAGCCGGAGTGTTGCGCATTATCAGTATATGAGCTGGCCTGACTTTGGCGTGCCTAAATCTGCATCTGCCATGTTGGACTTTAGAGCCCAGGTAAAGCAGCACCAGGCAGTGGCTGTGCAATCCTTGGGATCTGAATGGACTGGACACCCTGCAGGACCTCCAATAGTGATTCATTGCAGTGCAGGCATTGGGAGAACAGGTACATTTTCTCTACAGCTTGTATGGCTTATTATCAGTGTGCTGGTTAAACAGTGCTAGAGCAGGACAGCATAGAACTGAAATTATACCTTTTTAATGTCATAGTCATTGGAAACTACAGGCCTTTATGACAGCTGTGTCTAGTTCAAGTTCAGTGGTGTGACTCATGAACTGTCTTGAAAGTTTGCAATATTTGACACTCCAGTAAAAGGCATAACTGTACATTTTCTTTCACAAGACCACACAAGCTCACATACTGTCTAATGGAAACTTATGTAGATTATATCTCAAAGAATATATGGGAATATTAGGGAACGTTTAAGGGTTTTGTGAAAGATGACCTGTCTCTTTGTTGTATACGTGTGTATATTTTTTTAGATGTGACCGCATTAGAGATGTGCGTAGGCCACATACATGTTCTCATTAAATTTGTATCTACACACTAGAGAGAACTGAGTAAGCTGTATGTAATTGAAACACATTCGAAGGAGGAGCTTTCATTGCACATAGAAGACTGCTGAGAATGAATAAAGTTTTTCAGCTTGGATACTTTGGTGTGTTGGCCCTACTGCAAGCCGAGGGTTGAACCATCACCTGTATTGGGCGTATGCGGTGTGCAACTGACCTAGATGTGGATCTGTGAAGTGTAAAGGTGCCAATACACTGTACGATTATCGTACGAGAATCGTGGGAAATCCCGCGATTGTACGAGAATCGTGCAGTGTATGGTAGGCGTGCGACTGTTTCTACTGTACGGTCGCACGTCTTCCATCGAACCAGCATGCTAGAAAACCCGCCGGGAATCGCACGATTCTTGGCAAGTTAGTGGCCTGCTGGTTCGACAACTCTTGCGAGGGTTGTAAAGGTGTATGGCCACCTTTAAGCTAAAGTAAATATCTGAAAAGATCAGATTTATTCTCCTGAAGACAAAAGTGTATATTTATACTTGGGTTATTATACGTTATTAATCTGGGTTAGTGGACCTCCACCCATGAAGATAATATGGTCATCATAGCAGTATGGAGGAATAAGCCAGTGGCCATGGGCTCTTGTATGCACTGAAACTGCATTAAACAGAAATGACAGGTTTAGGTATGTGGGGGGGGGGGCAGTAACAATCAGATCACTAGGACAGCACCAGCAATGCTTGCCGATCAGAAAAGTATCTTCTAACACAGCTTACCACTTCTTGAGAACTAGCAGCAATATACTTGTTGGAATCGAACTCCATCTAAAAAAACCCCCAAATAAATCGCCCAATAATGGTAAAAAGAAGGAGCTTTTGCTGCAATGCCCACACAATCCAGAGGTGGCCCCTGCAGCTATTTTCCACTACTAGATGTAATCAGTCTTTCTGGTTGAATGACAGACAACCTCATTCAACACCCTTCCTCTGAGCCCAGGCTATCATGCCCCTTGAGGCAGCTTCATTGCTTAGTTTGGGTTTAAGTGTCATTAAGTAAATGCTGCAATAAGGACTACCCACCCCTGGATTAGGAGAGTAAGAACCTGTAACATCATCAGGCTCTTGGCAGTTTATTTTATAAGCAGATTTTTGGTTTTTAAGTAAATACGTGCTTTGCCTATAAAAGCAACAGATATTTATTTAAATGTCTTCCTTTCAAGCACCACATACTGCACTTTCCTTCACTACACCCGCCATTCAACCAACACACATAGGGCTGCAACTAATGATTATTTTGATAATCCATTCGTTGGTATTTAATGTTTTTTATCCGATTAATCAAAAAAATAAATAGGCCATCTTTAATTTAAACTAAAATACACAAATTCAGTGTTGCAAACATAATGTTTACTTCAGAATAAAACTGCATGTACAATTTTTCTCACACGGCATTGCGTTACCATGCGTTCCAGTGCGGGCGATCACAGTATGGGTGGGAGAAGCGTTTGGGGTACCATTGAAAGGAATGGCACTGCAGCACGCCTCCTGCAGCAGAATTGGTCAGTCCGAAACTGAAAATTACTTTTTTCCCACCTCTTTGTAGTTTAAAAAAAAAATATTTATATTGTAAGCACATGGAGCTTGAATAGCTTCAGCCAGGGAATGACAGCTGCCAGTGGCAAGATTCTGCAGACGGCAGCTGAATGTAAATACAGCAGATAGTGGGCTGGTGCAAGAGCCAGCCTGCTACTGGCCATTTTAAAAAGCAATACCAGATTGGCCCTCCTCCCAGCGAAGAGGAGAGAGCTAGGGGATCCAACCAACTAATTAATCATGAGAATAGTTGACAACTATTCTCATGATCGATTAGTTGGTTGTGACTGTAAACACACACCGTTGCCAATTTAGACTTTCTATAATCAGTTATGTTTGTATACATCAGGACTTAGGATTTTGAGATGTAGTGGCACTGTTTCCAGCGTGTAGGATATGGTAACCCCCCTTTCCCAGCTTTTACAGGGCAGCAAAGTGTACAGGTTAATATTTATCTGCATTTTTCTGTCACTAGGTACCTTTTGTACTTTGGATATATGCCTGTCCAGACTGGAAAACATTGGAACAGTGGATGTGTTGCAGACAGTGAAGAGAATGAGAACTCAGCGTGCTTTCAGTATTCAAACATGGGATCAATATTATTTTTGTTACATGGCGATTATCGAGTACGCACAAAGGAAAGGTCTCCTTGCTCCTGTGGAATGGTCCGACACTGAATTTGAGACGGATAGTGAATGATGATTTCCTCTCCACGGTACTAAGAAATGCTATGTGGGTGCATCCAAGGTCATAGCTGGTCCAGTAATAGTTGGCAGTGCTGGATGTCTCTGCTCCCATGCTGCCATGCAGTGACGTGCAGGCCCCTTCCGTACACTGCTTTGTTTGAGCTATTAATGCACTGGAAAGTGTCATAATTTATTGTAGCATGAATGCAATGGGATAACTTGCACACCGTTTCCGAGACTTGAACTTTAAGTGTACTTTTTTTTTTTTCTTTGCTGTTGTGCGCTGGAAGAATTGCGTATATGGAATGTGTCACAAATCCCTTTTGTAAAGTGTGTAGTAACTTGTAGATTTGTTTAGTCCTTTTGATGAACTTTATGTAAATTCTAATGTGTTCTCTAAAGACGGCTTCAAATTCTACATACAATCAATGACACCAAGTAGAGGTCCACATACCTGGTCACTTTGGCACTGTTGTAAATTTCTGTACAGCCTGTTTAAACACGATACAAAGGTCACCACAGCCGTAAGAATGACTAGCGAAAGTTCTGTTCAAGCGAAATCATGAAGTGTTATGCAAATTCTTACTAATTTACCTTAATTCTCTCAGCAGTGAAAGGGTTAAGATAAAGGCCTTAAGCTGTGTCTGTTTGATTTGTTTCTGTGTGAATGTTTCTCTCCACCCCCCTCTCCCTTTTAAGGTATATCCAATCAAGAATTCATTTAATCAAGACTTTTTCTTTCCTTTTTCTAATGGAGGGCAGGCTCAGATAACCACTGAGGGAGATGGCACAGATGTCTTGTGATTCCCTGCGCTGTGTCTTGTGTCATCCACAAGTGTAGTCATTCAATGCAAAGCTTCAGATGCCTCCACCCACTGGGCTTTTCTCAGTTGTAGAGGTCCCAATGAAGACCAGAGTTTCACCAGACAGGAAGTGAGGGAAAAATCTCAACAGCAGCAGAATGAGGGACTTCTAGAGCAGTGGTTCTCAACTCATGGGTCGCGACCCAAAAGTGGGTCGCGAGCCCTTCTGCAGTGGGTCGCGGCGCCATCACGGCAATCACGGGTCGCCATCACGGGTCGCGGCGCAATCACGGCAGGCTTGTATTAATGGATAGAAAGCCTGCCGTGATTGGCTCAGCGCTGAGCCAATTACGGCAGGCTTTCTATTCATTCATAATAAAATCGCACCTATCGCAAATTCTGGTGTGGGAGTTGTGTTGCATTGCCATTCATTTGAACGGCACCCCAAACGCATCTCCTGTACACAGTTTGATTGCCCGCATCGGAACGTGCGGTACCTCAATGCCGTGCGACTTGGGTCGCGACTTCATGACCAAGGACAAATGTGGGTCCTGAGGTTACACAGGTTGAGAACCACTGTTCTAGAGCTCCTATCAGCGTTTTATTTGTGTTATTTATGTTGCAGTTTCTTCCACTTCCTGGCTGATGTTGTCCATTGCTACTGGAAACGAAAGTGAGGGAAGTCTATCTAAAGCTGGCCCACATACTACAAATTTACAGCTTTCTGCTCCGCAGGCTGAAAGAGAGGAATCCCTCGATTCCCCCATCCACACTAGGCAGCATGGATAGAGGAGTCTCCACTGCCGGCTATTGTATTTAGCAGCTGCTGAATTTGGCTTAGAATTTTCAGACTGGCTCCTTGAAAAGTCGACTTGTTTAGCAGAGGAGGCGGGGTTGTGCCAACAGTGCCACTGACGTCGATTCAGCAGGAGTTGGCCCAAATTGGAGCAGTGTGTGGTCAGCTTACACATGGATAGTTTAATCCTTCCCCTGCTCTATCCAAACCCAAAAAGGTTTTGGCTGGAATTCAAACAGCTTTTAGTTCAGCGGTGGACAAATTAATATGAAAGTCAGGAGCTGGTCTGTAAAATCCAAGTGCCAGCTCCATTGACAACAACTAGAGGGAACCTCAAAGGTTAGGAGCCAGATGTAATTTATAAGAAGCATTGGCTACCTGGCTTCTGGGATTTGGCCAGCCCTGCCTTAGGTTATGCTACAAGTCATCCTGTGGGTGACTACAGACTCCTTCCCTTAAGCAGGCCTTTTAGTCTACTGAAGCCTGTTGCGTTTGCGTGTTGTAGCAGATCTCGAATCACTGGAAAAATGGGACGTGACTCCCAGGGTGAAGGGTTTTTCTATATTGCTGGAAAAGCCTGCATCTTTTTTTTTTTTTCCCCACAATTTAATTTCTCAGCATTGATGACATGAAAAAAAAGATTCAGTATGGTTTTGCGTACAATATAACACTGCCTGCATTGATGTGCCTTTTTAATGTATGTGTAGCACAAAAGTCATAATTTATCCAAATTAAAATTCAAATGCTTGCGTTTATATTCTCAGGGGCCTCTATTTTCCATTTCTTCAAGGAGAAGGAGTGACCTGTTCTCCCCTCCCTCATCCCTTCCATGTACTTGAGTACAGAAAAATCTTAAACAGTTTTATTTTTGTTTTATATCAATAATGTATTTTTTCCCAATTTTATTTAATGTTGTGTACTTAAAGTATATTTTTTTTCTTTTCCTTTTTTTGGTACGACTACATGACAGTGGCAGCATTATACTAAATGGATCCAGCTACTGTATTTATAAATGTGCTTACTCAATGTAAATGTTTATATAAGCTCTGGGATTGCAAAAATAAAATGCATTTATTTCCTTGCCATATATAAGATTGTAGGACCTGTTGGTACGAAACTGGTAATTCAATAGAAAGCTTATAGGTTGGACTTCTGTATTCCAGATTAAATATTTCTTTAGCTTTTATTATTTTATTGCCTTTTGTCTATTTCTAAACTGTGTTAATACAAGTAATTTCCTAAGGGGCACATTTCCGTCTGTGGTTGCCAAGAGGTGATGAAGCAGAAATTCACCTTCATTCACAATACGGCAAGGCTGTAAGTTCCTAAAAGGTAACTCCATCTTTCTGCACTTTGGGGCTAAGCTATTATTGTAACACAAGGGAGAGGATGTATTACCTAATGTGTTCCATTATCAACAAGGTCTTGAAAGTTTTACTCTGCCCATCAAGCATAGTCAGATTTTGCTTGATACTACCGTGTTTCCCTGAAAATAAGACACTGTCTTAGTGTGTTTTTTTTGAGCCAAAAAAAGTCTTATTTTCGGGGTAAGTCTTCTTTTTTTTTTTTTTTTTTAATATACGGCAATCCACACTTATGTAAAAAAAATATGGTGATCAGGGCAATCGGGGGTGCCGTACCTTTCCAGGAGCAAATTGGTAACCAATCGCTGGCCAGGATGTGCGAAGCGCACTTTCACTATCGATTCCTCCCAGGCGGAGTGCATTTTGTATCACTCCGCCTGTTACAGGAGCCGGCGCTATAGAGGAAGCATCAGCTTAAGCGGCTCTGCTCCCTCCGCTGCCGCCTCGCTTCCTCTAGCGCTGGCTTTGTTGGCACCGCTGATTCTCTCCCGCAGCTCTTCAAGTTCCCCCTTAGGCCACCACCGGCCCTGGGAATGGTCCCAACTAGGTCTTATTTTCGGGGAAACAGGGTATGTGAGCACGTTAGAAACAATTGTTATGCGTTGTCTGTGTTATGCGTCTGTGTGAACGTTTAAAGAAGTCGCACCTTGTATTTTTTTCACAGCTCAGTTCTTAGTGGATTATGCTTTTTATCCCATGCTTCTGTGTACAGTAGAGGCAGAGATCCAGATGGTGACAGTATATCCCCCTCAAAGTCTCTGGATTGACAGCCCTTTTCTCACTGTCTCTGCACATTCCAGGCACAAGTGAGGTCACAGGTATACAGAGGGAGGGGGTACGCTATTGCATGAATCAGTACAGACACTAGAACTGGAACCTTGATTTGATTTCTGTGATAGCGTACCCTGTCCCTCTACACTTTCCAGCCACAAGTGACATCACAGGAGTGCAGAGACAGTGAGATACGAACTGTCAATCAAGAGACCATCTCCTTTTGTAGAACGTGGCCAGGAATGGATGTCACTATCTGGATCTCGGCTTCTGCTGCATACAGAAGCATGGGATAAAAAGCATCATACACTGGGAGTTCGGTGAGTGAGCTGTAAAAAATACAATGTGAGAATTCTTTACATTAAAAAGACCGTAATCGTACCTCACTTTTTAAATAACAACCTTGCAGTAGTGGAGAATAATAAGCATTTGCATGCTTTCAAATTGTTGCTGATATTGTATGGGGATAGGGTCTTTATCTCTGCCCAGCTGGAATCTGACCCTGCAATAGACCATTTTCAGCAGGGGCAGTGGATATTTGGAAAAGCATGTAAAGACTTAAATAAAATATAATGCAATCGTGTTTTACTTCCAATGCATTACAAACTTTGTAGGAGTTTTATGTCACAAAATACAGTTTACCTGTTACTCTTGTGTTTTTCTCTCCCAGCAAAAGAACAAAAACCTTTGCAAATACATCTTTGTATTTCAGTACATTCTATTCTCACCCTTCCATGTACAGAATGCTGTGTCGGTGCATACCAGAAAGGGGCAAGTGTTCTATAGACAGAAATGTGTTCCTGGGCCATTGGAGAGACTTTCCTATTTCCTGTTAAGTGCACTGAATCCTCTAATAGGCTGTTCATGTATAAAAGTAATAGTAGTTAGTGTTTCCAAATCTCAAAAATGATCTATGCCTAGCCCTACCAATAGAAATACAAATCGCAACAAAGTAGTTGTTAGCAGCAGAGTGTCATTTAGATCTGGTAGAAACTGATTAAACATATCAGACCAGTGCTTATGATGTGAGCTTTTCTGTGGCCATCGTGGTGATTCCCTACATTTTTCTTTTTCACCTTCTTAATAATGAGTGAAGGGAGAAAATCAGACACAGGGCTGAAAAAGTTGCTATTAACCCCTTCGTGACTGACTACGTACAGTGTATGTCGCCAGCATCGGGGCTGTTTAAACAGACTCCCGGCGACTTTTGCCGCCGGGACTCTGTTTAAACTTGTAGTCAAGCTAAAAATCTTTGTTCTAATGGAGTGGAACTTTTGTCAGGTTTAACTGCAACCTGGGGCTGTTTTAGAGAGATTGATCGTCACTTCCTGTCCTGCTTACAGGACGTGTGGGGAGAAACTGCAACAGGCAGAAATAAAATCGGAAAGCATCTAGCCTTTACCTACTATACTAAAGAAAAGGATCTCATTTTATCTGCACTTCCTGTCAGGTAAAACATCAAGAAGTGAAGGTAAATCTCTTTAACCACTTGCCGTCCGCCCGTAGTAAAAAAACGGACGGACGGCACTGAGCTGCCCGGGATCGGCTAGGAGGGCGTCAGATCAGCTCCTTGCTGATCCCCGTCCGGGCTGTGAATGCAGAAGTGATGTGTATTACATCACTTCCGCATTCACCTGTCAGTCATCTGGCTGCTATTGCCAGAGAGAAGAAGCTGATGAAGCAGATCTCTGCTTCATCAGCTTCTTTTGGGGTCCACAGGTGACTATAGGGGAGACCCCTAATGTCTCCATAAAGAGGACCTGTCAGCGTGCCTTTGCTATTATAGGGGGATTGTTATTCCCCTATATAATAGCAATAAGTGCAAAAAAGTAAATCTAAATAAAAGTAACATATAAAAAATAGTCACATAAAAAAGGGGAAAAAAAAACCC